GTCTGTTTATTTTCTTTGTCTACTTCATTATTCACTGTTCTAAAATGTTTAAGGGACAAGTGTTTTGCCCAGAGGATGAGACACTACTTGGGATGCCCACATTTGTTTCACAGTGCCTGGGTTCAACTACTGCCTCTGCTTCATGCTATTGTGCATCCTGAGAAACTGCAGTTGCTGACTGGAGTGGTTTAGTCGCCATGACCCACATGGGAGACCCTCGTTGAATTCTGGGCTTTTTGACTTTTAGCTGATTAGCCAGCCCTATCCATTGTGAACATTTGGGGTGTGAACCAGTGAATGGAATATCTGTGTGTACCTTATAATTAAATGTATTTTTCTTAGTGTCCAGGTTGGAAGAAGTATGTGATTTGCTGAAGAGAAATATTTCCTAACATTTTCCAAAGTTAAAAACAACAGTAATTGTGAAATAAAATATTTCAAAAAAATAATCATTTAGTCATTGAAGATTAAAGTTGAGGGGCCAGCACTGTGGTAGAATAGATTAAGCCTCTGCCTGTGTGATGCCAGTATTCCATGTGGTCACTGGCTTCAGTTCTGGCTGCTTTATTTTGGATCTGGCTTCCTTCTAATTTTGCTGAGAAAGCAGCAGAGGATGGTCCAAGTCCTTAGTCCTCTGCATCCGTGTGGGAGACCCAAAAAGAAGGTCCAGACCAGCCAAACCATTTGGGGAGATTTTTTTCTATCTCTCTTTAGTCTGCCTTTCAAATAAAAATAATTCTTTTTATTGCAAAGTCAGATTAATAGAGGAGGAAAGAGAGGAAGATCATCCGTCCAATGGTTCACTCCCCAAGTGACCACAACGGCCGCTTCTATGCCAATCTGAAGCCAGGAGCTTCTTCTGGATCTGCCATGTGGGTTCAGGGTCCCAAGGCTTTGGGCTGTCCTCGACTACTTTCTCAGGCCACAGGCAGGGAGCTGGAAGGGAAGTGGAACAGCTGGGACATGAAGTAGCACCCATATGGGATCCTGGTGCTTGAAGAATGAGATTAATCTGTTGAGTCATTGCATCAGTTGCTCCCCACACACAGGTGACAGCTTAACTCATTGTGCTACAATTCTGGTTTCCAGAGTGTGTGTGTGTGTGTGTGTGTGTGTGTGTGTGTGTGTGTGTGTGTGTGTGTGTGTGTGTGTGTGTGTGTGTGTAAGGGGAGGGGGCAAAACAGAGAGCGCCAGGTCAGGACACACCAAGGCTGGGGGGCTGTAGATTGCCCAGGGAAGGGAATTCGGGGATGTGTAGGAGTGAGAATGGCTGAGTGCATGTTTGTCAGGGAAGGAATGACTTCTGGTGATCTTCATGGACTGTTCATGAACTGACAGGTAGGCAAGGAGGCTGAGACAGGGTGGTTTAGAGAGGGGAAACCGGATAGCAGGCCCCGGACAGGCCAAAGTGCCTGCACATGTGGAAGGCATGGGCTGAATTAAACAGTATTACCCACCTCTTGAGGGTGCTCACAAAATCTGGGGCTGGTGTGCATGGCTGGCTATGCTAGGCCACAATACCCCACCCATGAGTGTTGGAGTAGGGTGTGGACCACAGCACCCACCAGAATGTGAGAAAACAGATTTGGGGGCAGATTCTGTAGGGGAATTGTGGCCTCTGAACTGCAGCACCCATCAGTTTACATGGAGAGCTGGGGGTGGTGACGGCCAAGGCCAGCTGGCCTATAGAACTCGCCTGACAGGAACCCAGCTGACACTTGTGGGAGCGAGGGCCAGGCCACAGTACCTACAGGCACATGCAAAGACTGGGATCAAGGCAGACCATATCAAGCAGGTTTGGTGGGGGAACTTGGGGAACTCCCTTGCTGGGGTATACCTTCTGCTGTTGAGCAGGAAAACCAGGACTGGGAATATGCCAAGCTGGACGAGGCAGCAGTACCCATGGGTGTGCATGAGTACTGGATTGGACGTGAGCTGGGCCACAGGCTAGGCCACAGCAGAAGCCAACATGCACAAAAATCAAAGCTGGGGCAGGTCTGGTGGTGGTTATTGGGGATCACTCCATCAGTTTGTGTGAGGTATGGGGCTAGGGCGGAACTGACCAGGCAGCTGCCTCCTTGGTGTGTGCATTGGCTGCTGCAGGTGACAGACCACATCTGACCCTCAACTGGCTGGCACATAAAACACAGAAGAGTCAAATCTGAGATCATCTCAGGTGAGGTTTCTTGGGGGACTTCACAGTGGAATTACTAGACTCAAACCCTGGCCACAAGGGAAAAAAATCACAGAATTTGTTGTACAACATTGGAGTGCACATGTCAGGATGGGGCCTCCCTCAGTTGCCGATGCCTGTGCAACACACAGTGTGACCAGACCCGTGTGGAGGCCGTGACAGTCAGCTCATCTAAGCCAGCAGGAACGGCAAGTGCTTCATCAATGGACAGAAAGCAAAACACCCACCTTCCTCCATAACACTCTCCTCATCCTAAGCAAGAGGCCCACATGGGTGCACATCCCTCTAAATTATGGAAACAGTAGTAAAGGGGGAAAAATTAAATGTTTTAAAAGGAATTGTTTTTTATTTGAAAATCTTTTTAATATTTAAAAAATTTTTATATTGTTTTTAGTATTACACAGTTGAAAGGCTGCAATCCCATGTGGGCCTCTGATTACGGTAGAGGATCAGGCACAGAAGAAGGTGTGTGGGACAAACATTTCTGCTTTCATTTTTTATTTTTAGCTGTGTCCAGAGGGGAGGAGGGACAGTGGCTACTGCTTGCTGTGAAATTGCATCAGGACCCCAGGATTGACGATGGTCATTTGATGATACCTTAGAGACCCTGATGTGGAGAAGAATGTTCTGAGGGTGTTACTTGAATAGTTTTGATAGTTCTGAGAAGTTGTTGGTTTCGTTGCTCCAAGGTTGAAAAAAATCTTTCCAAGGTCTATTGGTTGACAAAGTCCATCTTAGTGCATCCACAGACCCAGGAACATGCTGCAAAGCTTGGCCAGAAGAGTTGTCCAACCTGTTCTGCTTTCTGTCCTCTGATGAGGCAGTTGACATCGCCTGCTGGACTAGATGAACTGTCCTATCTCCTGTGTGCATCTGGGCATGAACTGCATGAGCATCAGCCTGACACATGCACTCCAAGATTGGACTACAAATCCTGTGACCAGGGTCTGACTCCAGTGGCTGTGGCCCAGTTGTGGAGCCTCCCGAGAAACATCACCTTGTGACCTCAGAGATCTGCATCTGTTGGCTCACTCCCAAGTGGCTGCAGTGACCGGGGATAAGCCAGATCAAAGCCAGGAGAATGACTCTCCTTGGTCTCCCGTGTGAGTGGTGTAGGGGCTAAAGGATTTGGGTCATCTTTTAGCTACTTTCCCAGGAGCATGAGCAGGGAGCTAGATCAGAAGTGGAGAAGCTGAGACTGGACGCATTGCCCTTAAGAGATGCTGGTGTTGAAGGCCATGGTATAACTCACTGTGCCACAGCTCAAGTCCCCAGTGCCATTATTTATACTGAAGACCAAAATAAAGATTTTTGCATTGGGTATATAAACATTTTAAACCACTATGGTATTTAGTCATATGTATATATAGATCATGGTTTACTTTGCTCACCATGACATTTTGAATGTTTCAGAATTTTTTGTTTGTTTTCCCTCCTCTTTTTAGGATTTACTTATTTATTTGAAAAGCAGAGTTAAAGAAACAGAGGTGTTCAAGCACCCAGGTTGTCTTATGATTCCTTCCCAGGCATTTTTATAGGGAACTGGATAGGAAGTAAAGCAGCTGGGACTTCAGCCAGCACCTACATGGTAAGCCGGCATTGTAGGCATTGGATTAATCCATTGACCCACAATGCCCAATGCCAGCCTCATTTCAGGGGTTTTTTGTCTTTTTTTTTTTTCTTGTTAATAACATTGCATTTTCATGTTTGTCAGTTTAGGGCCAGCATTGTAGTTTCTCATTTAGTCACTAGGTTTGGTCCTAGTTGTTTATGGCCAGGGGAAAAGTAGTGGAAGATAGCCCATGTGCTTGGGCCCCTGCTACCCAAATGGGAGGCCTGAAAGAAGCTCCTGGCTCCTAACTTTGACCTGACTCAGCCCTGGCCGTTGTGGTCATCTGGTGAGTGAGCTAGCAGGTGGAAGATCTCTTTCCTTGTCTCGCCCTCTCTGTAACTGTGACTTCAAGTAAATAAATAAATAAATAAATCTTTTTTATACATTAAAAAAAGAACAAATGAGGATCATGGTAAAGGTAGTGAAAATATTCAGAATTTTTTTTAGTATAAAGCTGTCTACTTCCTGTGGTTTGTAAAATACATATGTGGATAGAACTAAAGATGACAAGTTTTCTGCCCTAGCGTCTGGATTGGACAGTGAGTATTTCAGGGAATGGAGATAGGGGAATAACAATTTTGTTTTAGGTAGATTAAGGTTTTTTTTGCTTATGTAAATGTTTAATAGAAGTACACTGGAAAGTATACACATTCTGAAATATAACCATAGATCTTTGCAGAGTACACTCAAGTGTAAGTAGTACTTAGAAAACACACACACACACACAAAACAAGAAAAAAAAAGAAACACAAACCGCTCTCGTAGTAGTCCTTACTTCAGCTACTAACTACAAATTATCAAAGTACTCATTGCAGTTTCCAAATCCCAGAGCCATAGGCTTTTCATTGTGCTTTAGAATTTAGAAACTTGGGGGCCCAGCGCAATAACCTAGTGGCTGAAGTCCTCACCTTGCACGCGCAAGGATCCCAGATGGACGCTGGTTCTAATCCCACTGCTCCACTTCCCATCCAGCTCCCTGCTTGTGGCCTGGGAGAGCAGTGAAGACTGGCCCAAGTAACTAGACTTTGCTACCCCATGATGGAAAACCTAGGCAAGCCCCTGCTGTTGCCACCATTTAGGGAGTGAGCCAGCACATGGGAAATCCCTTTCTTTCAGCTTGCCTTTTAAAATTGATAGGTAGATATTTTTTTTAAGTTTTATGTTTTAATCAAAGCTTTCATTTTTGTTTTCCAGGAGCGAGACAATTGGATCAGTTGTCCTGTGGTGTTTTTTTGTTTTGATTTTTTTTTTTTTTAATTTAAAGGTAATCTGCTTCTTGGTTCACCAGTCATATAGACAATACAGTTTTTATTAAAAGGCTGACAATCTTTACTCAGTTTATAAAATACAAATTTGATAATATGATAATGGCTAAGCCTTATGTTTCCACTTTTTTCTAGTTGCCTCAGAAAATCACAGAATATATTTAATTTCTAAAAGAATGTACTTCACAAAAGTAAAACTCAAAATATACCCAAGCTACGTTTCTTGTTAATGTACCCAAAATTTTTTTCAAAAACTTATAAAAGTTTCATAAATTTTGTAAAATTTTATAAATGAAGTAAATATTTAAATTTGCTTTTTGAATCTATGTTTTACTTGTAGATTGAACTCTTGGACCATGGGAATCAAGGTTCAGCGTCCTCGATGTTTTTTTGATATTGCCATTAACAATCAGCCAGGTAAGATACTGATATTACTAGTTGACATTTATAAGTAAGTATTTAGTATTTTAGTAAAGGGATGTGATGTTTCTTCTTTTTTAGCTGGAAGAGTTGTCTTTGAATTGTTTTCTGATGTCTGCCCCAAAACATGCGAGAACTTCAGGTGTCTTTGTACAGGTTTGTCCCATGCTCAGTAGTTCCATTGACTACTTTAATTTTTAGTTGACTATATTTTGGGGTTTTTTCCCTTCATGCATATTGTCTCTTAACATGAAGATTATGTAACAGTAACTAGGATATAAACATAATTCTTAAATGTTAGTTGTATTGGGATTTTATCAGATTGATTTCTTCATGCTCCAGAAAGTATGGGTGATTTTAAAATGAGAAATTTTTTAAATTCCTGAAGGAACTGAAAATTCCATAGCTTAATGAAAAGCAAATTATAGTTCAAAAAATGTAAGGGCAAAAGCACTCAGCATTAATTTTGCTTTAATAGTATCTGCTTGATTATCTTTATTCTAATTGTGTCCTACTGACTTTCCTTCTCTACAGGTGAAAAGGGGACAGGAAAATCAACTCAGAAGCCATTACATTATAAGAGCTGTCTCTTTCATAGAGTTGTAAAGGATTTTATGGTTCAAGGTGGTGACTTCAGTGAGGGTGAGACTTTCATTTCTACGAAAGAAGACCATGTTTATGTATTCTTCATTAAATACTATACCTTAGAATGGAACAAAATCCCTGAGAGATTTAGTACAGTTTTCGTTCCCTTCTACTTCATGTTTAGTCATTTAGAAATGTCTTGAACATTTATAAAAAAGACAACACAGAAAATATTTTTTTTTATCTTAGAAAATAATTTTTTAAAAATAAATTTTCTTGTGATGGATCAGTTAATATCAAGAATTTTACTTGAGTACAAACCTCTACATTCATGTTTGATTTTTTGTCATACTTACTTAAGTACTACCATATGAGGCTTTTATGTCTTGTAGTAACCGTTGAAGCTCTCTGTTTTTTAATGATTTTTTTTAAAATGTGAAAGGTAGAGTTACAGAGAGAGGGAGGGACAGAGGTCTTCCGTCAGCTGGTTAGTTCCCAAAAGACTGCAGTGCAGAGCAATGCAGACAAGCCAGGAGCCAGGAGCTTCATCTGGATCTCCCACGTGCTTGAGGAGCCCAAGCACATGGGTCGTCCCCGCTGCTTCTCCAGGCGCATTAGTGGGGAGGTGGATCAGAAACAAAACGGTCAGGACTTGAGCTTGCCGTTCACATGGAATGTTGGCAACCCGGTTGGTAGCTTAACTCATTGTGCTACAGTGCCAGCCTTTTGAAACTACTCTTATTTTTTTGTTGTTTTATTTTTTAAAGATATATTTATTTGTTTTTTATGGCGAGATAGCAAGAGATAAATCTTCTATCTTTTGGTTTAATCCCCAAATGGCTGCAATGGTTGGAGCTGGGCTTATCTGAAGCCAGGAACTTCTTCCAGGTTTCCCAGGTGCATACAGACCTCAAGGATTTGGGGGACAATCTTGTGCTGCTTTTCCAGGCATATTAGCAGGGAGCTAGATCTGGAATGGAGTAGTTGGGGCTTCAGTTGCAGTATGGGATGCTGGCACTGGCTTACCCACTGTGGCACAGGACCAGCTCTGAAGCTGTTTTTATAGAAACCCTGAAAAATCTTAACTCTCCTTTAAAAACAAAACCTGCCTAAAATTAGATTATGTAACTTTGTCACATTTTTTACCCCCTTCCCCCAGCTTTGTCATGTTTTTAGATTACAGGATTTGTCACATTTTTAGTATTAGAGAGTAAAATAGTTTGGGATTTTGACTTTATTGACACAAATTTTTAGAATGATTTTCTGTGATCTCTGAGTACTACTATTCCTAAAAATCTTCTGAGCATGTACTTTGTAAGAAGTAATTTGCTTAAATAGCACTTAACTATCTTTAAGATTCTGAGTCTTTGTTGTTTTATTTGTTTTTCTCATTTTTAGGAAATGGACGAGGTGGAGAATCTATTTACGGAGGATTTTTTGAAGGTAAAAATGTTTATACTTTTAATGTTTTTCTAGTTTATTCTTTTTTTTAATGTATTTTTATTTTATTTGAAAGGAAGGAAGATGGACTTTCTATTTAGAGATTTACTTTCCAGTTGGTTCATGTTCCTAAGCTGCCCCAAGCCAACATCAAGAGTCCAGAACTCTCCTGGTTCACCCTCATGGGTGGCAGGGACTGAAGTGCTTGACCATTCATTACCTGCTGTGATCCAGGGTTACATCATAGGAAACTGAATTGAACGCCTAGTAGCTGGGATTACAACCAGGGACTAATATATGAAATGTGGGTTTTACAAATGGCAGCTTAACTGCTGTACCAGATGCCCACCATTTGGTTACTATTTATTGAATCAACAAGGTTATTCATTAATCAGTATACTAATATTTAGCGACCTTCAACTATTCCAAAAGTTAACGTTCTTTTAGAAAATTCTGTGTGATACACTGTTTATAAAGTGGAGGTTTATGTTCTTAGTATATTATTGCACACTAGGAGTTTGAATGATCTTTACTAAAGTTTTAGAATTATTGCATTAGATTAGGAACCTCTTCACTAAAAGATTTATTTATTTATTTTTATTTGAAAGGCAGATTTACAGAGAGAGAAGGAGGGACAGAGACAGAAGTCTTCCATCACTGGCTGGCTCCTCAAAAGGCCACAACAGCTTAAGCTAGACTGGTCAGGAACCAGGAGCTTCTTCAGGGTCTCTCATGCAGGTTCAGGGTACCAAGGGTTTGGTCCATTCTCCACTATTTCCCCAGACCACAAGCAGGGAGCCGGAAGGGAAGTGGAGCAACTGGGATAGCATCTGGTGCCCATGCGAGTCATCACCACTTGTAGGTAATAGATTAACCAATTGAGCTATTGTGCCAGCTCAAAGATAGACAAATCTTACTCCTGAGGGTTCACTTTCCAAATGGCCACAAGGACTGGAGCTGAGCCAATCTGAAGCCAGGAGCTTCTTCTGGATCTTCTACAGAGGTGCAGGTACCCAAGGGCTTGAACCTTCTTCCTCTGCCTTCCCAAGTCATCAGCAGAGAAATGGATCGGAAATGGAACAGCTGAACTTGGACTGGCACCCAAATGGGATGCTGGTGTCAAAGACGGAAGCCCAGCTACTGTGCCATGGCACCAGCCCCAGCAATATTTCTTAATGTTCAAATTTTAGAAAATATTTTTCCCGTAAATTTTAAAAATTCTCAGCATACTGAATTGCTGTTTTCTGATTTTGTGATTTTTTTTTCTCTAGATTGTGTATTAGTGTGAAGATCATTTTGAAAAATTAGCAGCTTGTAAATGTGGAAATAATTTTTTTACAATCTTTCATTTTTGGGTATAATAAAATTTTGTTGGGAATTCTACAGCTTTTGTTCTCATATACTAATCTAAAAGACTGAAAGATAAAACTGCACATTAGATGTTATTATGGTAAAGATTTAGTGATCCTAGTATAAACATTATGAGTACTGAAATAGGCATCATGAAATGGAATTAAAGGGCATGGTGTGATTGCTCAGTGGCAAAATCTTCACTTTGCAAAGGCAAACATCCCCCGTATGGGCACCAGTTTGTGTCCTTCTGCTCCACTTCCCATCCAGCTCCCTGCTTATGGCCTGGGAAACCGGCAGAGGGTGGCCTAAAGCCTTTGGGACCCTGCACCCATGTTGGAGACCCAGAAGAAGATTGTTGCTCATGGCTTTGTATCGGCTCAGTTCTGGCCATTGCAGACACCTGGGGAGTGAACCAGTAGATGAAAGATCTTTGTCTCTCCTTTCATAGAAATTTACCTTTCCAATAAAAGAAAATGTAAATAGGTAAAAGACATGTAGATTTTTGTTTATTATTTTCATAGGTACACACATATGTTTATATATATATACACATATTTGTTTATTATATATACATATAAATCTTTTGTAAAAGAAAAAATAAATGACTAAATCTATATGCCAGCTTGTAGATAAGCCACTTAGCAATTAGCAATAGATAGCCTGGAGGATGCTTTAAAGGGCAAAACACACAAAAAAAATTTTTTTTCATTTTTTTTAGTATATTTTGACAATCTTTACATAGTTAATTAGGGTAAAAAGGTTCAAGGGCTACAGGAAAATGGGTAAGATTATTATTTTTCCCATATTGCTTCCTTCATGTTTAAAGGAAGGTATTAAGGGAGAAGGCCCACCCAATTTGCACCCTTCCCAGGTCCCGGATGTAGGGTATGCTCTGAGGTTCTTGCTCAGGTGGTTTGATATTTCAACAGTTATGAATCGCTGCCAATCTTGCCACTCCAAGCACTATGAGGTCTTTGAAGAATCCACTGGTTGATATAGTCCATCATAGAGTCTCTGTTTGCCCCGTATTTTGCTGCTAAGATATAGCTGAGATGGTTGGTTGACCTGTTCTGTCTTCTCTTTTTTCTTGGTTAGGGTTCTGAGTCCAGCATTTCGATTGGGGAGATCTCCAAAGAAACTGTCTGAGGTGTTCTCAAACCAGATTCTTGTATGTGCTAGCAAGTACAGGGCCCGGCACAGTCCATTGCCCCGAAAAAAAATTTTTTTTGAACATTTGTTTATTTGAAAAATATAACAAGGTATCTTCCACCTGTTGATTGACTTCCAAATGGCAACAGTGGTCAGGGTTTTGCCAAGCGAACCCAGGAGCCTGAAATTCCATTGGGTTTCCAGCAAGGGTAGAAACCGTAATATTTGGTTCATTCTTTTACTTTGCCAGGTGCCTTAACGAGGAGGTGGAATCAGAAGTTGAGAAACAAAGACTCAAACTAGTGGTCATATGGGATGCTACTATTGCCAATGCAGCCTAATGTGCTGGGCCACAAGTCCAGCTCCCCATCTGTTTTCTAAATTGTTTTTTTCCAAGATTTTTGTCTTTTGCTGAAATAAACAAGCAGTTATGTCATCCTTTCCAAAAATTGCATAGGATAGCGTAAATGTAAATTTAAAAATTTGTTTTGGGCCCAGGCCCAAACATGGTAGTCTGGTAACCTAACAGCTGAAGTCCTTGCCTCACATACACCAGGATCCCATATGGACGCCAGTTCGTGTCCTGGCAGCCCTCACTTCCCGTACAGCTCCCTGCCTGTGGCCTGGGAAGGTAATGGAGAATGGTGCAGAGCCTTGGGACCCTGCGCCCACGTGGGAGACCTGGAAGGAGCTCCTGGCTCCTGGCTTTGGATCGGCTCAGCTCTGGCTATTGTGGCTACTTGGGGAGTGAATCAGCAGATGGAAGATCTTCCTCTCTGCCTCCCCTCTTCTCCTTATATCTCACTTTCCAACAGGAATAAATAAATATTTAAAAATTTTTTTGTTTAAAAATTTGTTTTATTAAGCAATTGTTAGAAATTGTTGGTTTTTTCCTAATCTAAAATGTTCGAAAGGAAATTGATTTATATTTGTTTTTTACTTTATAACCAGTTATCTAAGTTGTATTTATCATTAAAAAGCTCATCAGTTATGAAGAGGAGTGAAAATTAGCTTTTTCTTTTTAATAAATTGTGTCAATTTTGTAACTGAAAACATTGCTTCCTGTAGATGAGAGCTTCGCTGTTAAACACAACAAAGAGTTTCTCTTGTCGATGGCCAACAGAGGGAAAGATACAAATGGCTCACAGTTCTTCATGTAAGTACTGATGATCTGATCTTTTAAGGTATCCTAATTTTTTGGTCTTATTTTTATTTTTCTGTGTGCCTGCCATTAATCATTAACATGCCAGAGGAGAAATTCTTAAGGTGATATTGTTGAATGAACAACATGAAAGAATAGAAGAGTAGGCAAATCAATCTTTTGTTTGTTTTTAAGGTGTATTTATTAACTTGAAGGGCAAAATTACAGAGACAGACAGATCCTCCATCCACTGGTTTATTTCTTAAACAGCCATATCAGCTGGATCTGGGTTGTTGTGGAATCGAGCACTTCTTTGGAGTCTCCTACATAGCTCCAAGGATTTCGGCCATCCTCCACTGCTTTCCCCGGGTGTATTAACAGCAAACTGAATTGGAAGTAGAACAGAAAGGACTCAAACTGGTGTTCATATCAAATTTCAGCACTACTGGTGTGGGTCTAACCCTATGTGGGTCTCACGAGTTTTCAAGTGATGAAGACATGTCAGGAGACAGGGGAGCCAGCTGAACAGGGTTTCACACCACCCAAATTGAGACAATTTGAGCATCAAAAGTAATGGTGGTACCAGGTATAATCAAATAGAAATCCACAAATGCATAAGTTTTAATTATTCATCATTAGCCATACTTGGAAGTATTAAATGAAAGATTCCAAAAATAAGTGGATTTGTTACATGTCATTCTCAGTAGCATGATGAATTCTCACTGTCCAGACAGGAGCCTGAATCAACTCCTTTTAAGTCATCCCTTTGTTCAACATGGGTGCACTACCTGCCGCTTAGTCACTTAGTAGTTAGTTTCTTGGTTGTCAGAGCACTGTTGTGTTGTTGTAATGTTTATATTCTATTACTCCTTGATAGATTTTAGCATATCCAGACAGTAATATGCAAGAGCTCAGTCACATATAAGAAGCACAAATGGATAAAAATAACACCAGAATGTCATTGAAGTTTTAATATATTCAAGGTTTCAATAATGAGTAGGTACTGTTTTAAGACTCAAAACAATTTTTAAAATATAGAAAACATTGTATATTCTATTCTACTTAATAATGTTGTGAAGATAGTATGTGATTTCAATTTTTTTCCAACACTGTTATTTTGTTTTCCTTTTTTACGAGTTGTTTACTTTGTTTTTCTCTTTGTTTTAATTACTCTGATGACTTCGCAAAAGAACAACGAAGCCAACACCTCATTTAGATGGGTAAATACTATTTTATTTTAAAACATACTTTAGTGAATACTAAAATACAAGCTTTTAGTTAGTCATCTTTTCTTGACTCTTTAGGCATCATGTTGTTTTTGGACAAGTGATCTCTGGTCAAGAAGTTGTGAGAGAGATAGAAAACCAGAAAACCGATGCAGCTAGCAAACCATTTGCTGAGGTACGGATACTCAGCTGTGGAGAGCTAATTCCCAAGTCTAAAGGTAAGAATAAGTATATATTTCTGAGAAATCTTACATTCATAAAATGACCAGTCACTCTGTTTATCATATAAACCTGACATAAACAATGTTTTTGTTCTGAGTGTTTCTTACGCTTTTGATTTGCTTTTAAATTAATAAAAATTGTATGCTTATACCAAGCAGCATATTTTAAATATGTAGACATTGTGAGCTAAATTGAACGTGTTATTAGTTTTTTTTCTGTTTTTTTGTGTTACTATGTATACAATATATTTTTTGAATGCATTCTTCTATCTAACTGAAATTTTTTTGTCTTAAGAAAAAAATCTCCCCAATTCCAACACCACCAGTACTAGTAGCCCCTGTAACCACTGCTTTTCTTACTGCTTCTATAAATCAATCTTGCATTCCATCTATAAATTAATCCATATGGTATTTTCTGTCTTATTTCACTTAACAAATTATCTTCTAGGTTTTTGTATTTTTTTTTAAATGCTGGCTAGAATCACATCATATGTATATATATGCCACTTGAATCAGTTGATGTGTTGTTGGACACAAGTTGATTTCATTTCATGGCTGTTGTGACTAACATTGCAATGAGCACGAGAAGTACAGTTACCTCATGAACTGATTTCATTTATTTTGCATAGAGTATTCGAATTAATGGGTCATAGAATACTGTTTTCCAGTTTTCTGAGGCATTTCCACATTTTCCTGACTAATTTATAATTCTACAGATTGTATGTTAAGTGATTTTTTTTTCCCCATGCACAGCATCATCTTTTTTGTCTTTGTGATAGTAACCATTCATAGTTACTAGGTATTGTGGTTTTGGTTTGCATTTCTTTAATGATTAATGATGTTGAGCATTATTTTCATTTACCTGATAACCAGATATGTGTCTTTTGAGAAATACTTGTTTAGGTTTTTTGACTGTATTGATTGAGTTTGTGGTCTTAAATTGAGTTGCTTGAACTGCTTACGTATTTTGAGTACTAATTCTATCAATTGTATGGTTTGTAAATTTTGTCTCCCATTCCATAGGTTGCCTCTTTCCTACTCTTAATTGCTCCCTTGATAGTATAGAAGTGGTTTAGTTTTGCTAATCTCATCTATTTTCACTTTTATTGCCTATGTCTTTGGGGTCGTATTCAAACTTATTTTCTGGATTTGTGTCATGGAACTCTTCCCGTTGTTTTCTTCTGCTTCAATCATTGTCTACTTTCAGATAATTATATATGGATTGGGAGATAAAGGTCAAACAATTCCGCTACATATTGATATCCAGTTGTCCCCCAATGCTGTTTCTGATAACTATCTGTCCTTAACCCGTTTTATGTTTTTGGCATTTTTATGTTTTAAATTGTATTCTGTCATTCTTGTTAATTTATTATGAAATCATTGAAATGTTTCTTATTTTTGCAGTAGTTTGCGCTCTTTTCGAGCTTTTTCATTTTCAATAAATACTCTTCTAGAGAAAGAGACAATGCAAGGAGAGCAGTAATTGAAGGGAATAAGAAAAGCTTTAGAAGAGGGGCTTTTGGGTCATGGCTAAAGTGCTACTTGTTTTTCTTTTATTTGTTTTTAATTTTTAATGTTGTAAATATTGTTTATGTAGTTGAAAGGGATTTGTGCCCATGTGGATATCCAGGTAGGGTAGGGAGGGTGGAGGTATGGAGGGAGGTAAGTGTGTGGTACAAATGTTTCAGTTTTTTTGTTTGTTTGTTTGTTGTTGTTGTTGTTTTATGTCCTCCTGTGTCTGTTTGGGGGAATGGAAAGAGGCCGCTCCTTGCTGTCAAACTGCATCAGGACCCGGGATGGGGGATGTTATTTGATATGTCTTAAGAGACCCTGATGTGGGAAAGAGTGTTCCGAGGGTGTTAGCTATTTTTTTTTAATAGTTCTGAAAAGTTGTTGGTTTCATTGCTCCAGGGTTGAGAAAATCTTTCCAAGGTCTATTGGTTGACAAAGTTCACCTTAGTGTATCCACAGACCCAAGAACATGCTGCAAAGCTTGGCCAGGAATTGTCCAACTGGTTTTGCTTTCTATCCTCTGATGAGGCAGCTGACATCCTCTACTGGCAGAGATGATCTGGCTGTCCACTGCATAGGCATCAACAACTGAGGATGCCCAGTCCCAATACATGCACTGTAAGGTTGGACCACATGTATTATGATTTTCCCTGTGGCTGGAATTGAATCTAGTGATCTAGTTAGGGAGTCACCTTGCCTGGGATGACCCCCAGTTTGACTCTTGTGTGTGCATCAGCCTGTTTAGGGTCAGCTTCTGATCAGGTCACCTGCACCAGCCAATGCATATACTGGTTAAAGTAGCTGTCTGGTCAGTTCTACCTCCAACCCAATCTCTCAAAGGAACTGATGGATGCTATGGCTCAGCTCACCTAAGACCCAGTCCTGATGCACACCAGCAGGTGCTGTGAGTTAGTCAGAGCAACCCACAAAAACCCTCATTGGGCCTGTCCCAAGTTTTGAGTTTTGCATTTGCAGTATGTGTTGCAGCGTAGCCCGGCCCATCCATCCATCATGCACACCTGTGGCTTAATTCAGCCCACACATATGCTAAGAGATGCTTGTCCAACCTGGTCTGCCCCCAGGTCTGGCTTCTGTGCTCACTAATGGGAACTGCAATACAGCAGGGGAGTGCTTACAGTACCCCCCAACCCTGAATCGCCCCTAGATTGAGCCCACATGCCAGTTGACGGATCCTGCATCCTGCCCAGACCAGGCTGCCTTCAGTCCCAGCTCCCATGCTCACCAGTGGAAGCAGCAACACAACATGGGAGTCCCTCAAGTTCCTGTACCAGGTCTTCTCCCAGCCCCAGGTCTTGGCACATGTCACTGGGTACTGTAGCCGAGGCTGGCATGGCCCACCCCCATGTTTGCTGGTTGGTGGGGCAGGCTCAGCTCACCTCTAGTTCCAGTTATTGCTGGTGAGTGCAGCAGCCTAGCTCAGACTGGCGCCTATCCCCAGCCCTGGCCCTCATGTGAACTGGCAAGTGTTGTGGACCAACCCAATCTGGCCTGCACCCCACCTAGGCTCTCGCTACTGCCAGCGTGTACTGCAGACTGGCCCAGTTTGGCCCAGCCCACACAAATGCCAAGGAATGCTGCAGTCCGGCCTGGTCTGGCCTGCCCCCAGTCCTGGCTCTTGTGCTTACCAGTGGGAACTGTAGTCTAGCAGGGGAGGTTACCAAGATCCCTTACCATGTCCACCCCCAGTCCTGGCATTTACTGGCAGGTACTGCAACCTAGCCCAACTGGCCATAACCATTTTTGTTTTTGCCAGTGTGTGCTGTAGGCTAACCCAACCTGGTCCACTCAAAGACCCAGCTCTCATGTCACCCAGTAGGTGCCCCAGCCTCACCCAACCTAATCTGCATCGATTCTGGCTCCTATGGTGCCAGCTGGTACTGGGACCTGGCCTAATCTAACCTGCCCCTAGATGCAGCTTATAGGCATGCCGTTAGGTGCTGCATCTTGGTCTTTCCTCAGCCTCAGCTTTCACATTCATCAGTGGAAGCTGCAGCCTAGCAAGTGAGTCTCCAAATTTCCACTACCAGGCCCATTCCCATTTCCAGATCTGTGTGCTGGCAGGTGCTTTGACCTAGCCTGGCATGACCCACCCACAGCCTCAGCTCTTCTCTGTGTGTGTTACAGCCTAACACAGTCTGGCAAGACCCTCAGTCTCTCCTACTGCCAGACCTGGCCCACTAATATGCCAATGAGTGCTACAGGCCTTGCAGGCCCATGCCTGCCATAGCTCTTGTGCTTCCCAGTAGGCACTGCTGCGGGAGTTAGATGCTATTTGTGATGTCCACATCTTATTTACCAGGATGCCTGGTTACAAATCCTGGTTTTGCTTCTGATGTAACATTCCTGCCAATGTACATCCTTGGAAGCAGCTATTTAGTGGCTGAAGCTCTCTCTTTTCCTTTTAAACAAAAGCAGAAGCTTTGAGGCAATGAATTTTTACTTCATGCACTGTTTAGATTCAGAAGCATCCTGTATTTTTTTTTTAAGATTTGCTTATTTATATTTGAAATGAAAATTTATAGAGAGGAGAGATAGAGAATGATCTTTCGTTATTGGTTCTTTTTTCATTGGCCCCAACAGCTGGACCTGAGCTGATCTGAAGCCAGGAGGTAGGAGCCTCCTTTAGGTCTCATATGGGTGCAAGGGCCCAAGGACCTGTGCCGTCCTCTGCTTTCCTAGGCCATAAGCAAAGAGCTGGATGGGAAGTGGAACAGCCAAGATATGAACCCGCTCCCACATAGAATGCTGGGAGTTAATTGAGTCACCTCATTAGTTCCCAGCCTCCTTTACTATTAAGAAACTTCTTTTACTTAGACCAGTCAAAGCTAGGATGATTGATTTTTCCTACTGTCTGAAATGCTAAGAACTTTGCTATAAGTCTTAGGTGTGTTGTTTCTTAAAATTTAAGAAAATGCTGTCATATAATACAAAAATGGAATCTGACAGAAGTAATGGAGTTAAGATTACCTTCAAATCTCTATAAATGTAAAAAATTAAACTGCTCTAATTTTACTGGCCTGGAGAATAGAAATATCAATAGTTGTGGTTAGCAAATGTGATTCTTTTGATTCTTTTTTTTAAATTTATTTTTATTGTAAAGTCAGATATACAGAGAGGAGGAGAGACAGAGAGGAAGATCTTCCATCCAATGATGAATTCCCCAAGCAGCCATAACGGCTGGAGCTGAGCCAGTCCGAAACCAGGAGCCAGGAACTTCTTTCTCCAGGGAGCTGGATGGGAAGTGGAGCTGCCGGGATTAGAACCGGCGCCCATATGGGATCCTGGGCGTGCAAGACGAGAACTTTAACCACTATTCTATTGTGCCAGGGCCTACTCTTTTGATTCTTGAAATATCTGTGATACTGTCTCCCCAGCTTACAGGTCACGATTGGCAAAAGATTTTGTTTTCTACCATATTCAACAAATACGTGTTAAACATAAGTTTGGGATCTAGAGCTTTTGCT